CCCCGGCCCTTTTTTTTTTTTTTTGAGGCAGGGTCTCACTATGTAGTTCAGGCTTGCGTTGAATTCATGGCTATCCTTCAGCTTCGGCCTCCCAAGTGCTGGGTGATTCCTCTCCTTCCTTTTACTCCCCCATACTAACCTCACCAGCAAAACAAGTTTTTCTGCTAGGTAGGTCTTTTTCTCTTGCTCCAGGCTTAATCAAGCTACTACATCTGTCACTTGGTTGCTACGACAGCCTCCTAACTCACTGTGTAGTCCAGTTTGGCCTCAAACTGGCAGCAATCCTCCTGCCTCAGCCTCCCAAGTGCTGGGATTATAGTTTCCCTAATCTCTTTACTTTGAGACAAGATCTTAATAAATTGGCCGGTCTGGACTGGAACTTGCAATCCTACTGCCTCAGTCTCCATAGTACCGTTTTTAATGTTTTTCCTTTCCTTATAGAATATAAGCTCCTTGGTTATAAGGAGAGGGTTAATCTCTTCCTTGCTATACCTCCTGGCTGCACACCATGTCCAGCTCCGGTGCAGTCTTGATAACAGCCCTGAGAAGCAGTCAACACATCGCTTTTCACAGATGAAGATACAGCTCAGAGGTTAAAGCCTCTGGCCAGTCATGATCATGAGAGCAGGTGTGAAGCTGACCATGGTGACGCATGCCTAGAATCCTAGCACTCTAGAGGCTGAGGCAGGAGGATCACTGTGAGTTCAAGGCCAGCCTGGACTACACAGGGAGACCCTGTATCACAAAACAAAACAACAGAAGTGAGAAAGCCACATTTTGAGAGGTGAATCCAGTTCTTGCCAATCCAAGAGTGCATAGATTTTTAGTGTGGGAAGAGAGCATCTCAAAGAGGCATGTTGGAAGGGAGGCCATCCACCGCAGGGAATAGAAGTTGGGTGAAGTTCAGAATTGCTGCCTCTTTTTTTGGTACCAGGAATCGAACTCTGGTCCTTGCACTTGCAGGGCAGGCGGCGGAACCACTAAGCTAAATCCCCGGCCCTGCTGCCTCTTTAGAATCAGAACTGTGCCAGTGGGAGCCTCCCAGGCTTGGCAGGATTCTAGGCAGTGGTGGCTTCCCTACCTTCAGTACCTCATTTTCCGCCCCTAGAATAATCAGCAAGAAATGCCTATGGGCTGGGGATTTAGCTCAGTGGTTCTGGTGCCTGCCTCAAAAGCCCAAGGTTCCGAGTTCGATCCCCGGTACCAAGAAAAATAAAGGTGCCTGGCCTTGTGTCTGTATCCTATGGGTTGGACAGCTGGAAAGCCTGAGAAAGGAATGGGGCAGGCGTGCTGGGCACCTCTGAGGCTCAGACTGGAAAGGCTCTCGGGATTCTCATTTCATTGTGGCCTTGGCTAGTCTTCACCCTCATCTGTAAGATGGAGGAGATCCCAGGTTCCCAGATTGGGCTGTGCCTGAGTATTACCCGGGGTAGGCCCTAAGCAAGCGCTGTAATAACACCAGTATTGCTTTATTAAGGACTTACTATGTGAGGACTTTATTATTATTCTTTTGATTGATTAATTGGAGTGCTGAGGATCAAAGCCATGACCGTGTACACTGCTGGGCAAGCACCCTACTGCTGAGCTGCACCCCCAGCCCAGTCTGAATGCTTTAAAGTATTAGCTCATTTAACCCTACACATCGTACAGAGATGTAGGTGCTATTATCACCCCCCCTCCATTTTACCAAGGAGGAAACTGATTGGTGGAGACACTGACTGTCCAAAGTCAAGCACAGTCTGGCCCCAGAGGCTGCACTTTCAACCACCACACAGAGCAAGGGCTTCAAAGTGCCTGACCCTGGCCTCCCCTTCCACTGGGTTCACAGTCCAGAGATTGAGAGCTCCAGGCTTATCTTACCTGACCTTAAAGACTAGGACTCAATAAAGATTTCCAGAGCTGCATGTGTGGTAGAAAAAAGACTTTGGGGGCTGGGGATGTAGCTCAGCAGCACAGCACCTGCCTGACAAGCATGAGTCCCTGAGTTCAATACCTGGTACCAAAAAAAGAAAAGAAAAAAGACTTTGGATACAGTATGACCTCGAATAGAATGTACGGAGTTGGGGAGAATGTCCGTTCTCAACGTCCTGGAGAACACAGAGGCACCATCGGCTGAGGGTGGATGGGAGTGGTGGGCTGAGACTTCTCAGCAGCCCTGGATGTTCCAAGTTCCAGCCTGCCTCCTTACCACAGGTTGTCTTCTCTATTTTGTAGCACTTGGTGTTTGTGCATTAGCACGTTTTTATCTCCTCTTGTACTGCATGAGAAAGCCAGCCTCTGCCAGGCGAGGTGATGCACAACTGTAATCTCAGCACCCAGGAGGCAGAGGCAGGAGGAGGACTATGAGTTCCAGACCAGCCTGGGCTACATAGTGAGTCCAGGGCCAACCTAAACTACAAAGGGAGACCCTGCCTCAAAAAAACAAAACAAAACAAGCCAGCCTCTTTCCAGGTGTGGCAATTCATCAGAGGACACAGATGCTCTGGGTTGGTGTTCTTTTGTTTTGTTTTTTGGTATGGGGGATCAAACTCAGGACCTTCCGCTTTTGAGGCAGATGGTGGAACCACTGAGCTAAATCCCCAGCTCAGTTCTTTTGTTTTTTGATTTGGGGTTTGGGAGGGGTTTTTAGGGTTTTTTTGAGACAGGGTCTCACTGTGTAGTCCAGGCTGGTCTTGAACTCACTATGTACCCCAGGCTGGCCTCAAACTTGGGGCAGTCCTTCTGACTCAACCTCCCAAGTGCTGGGATTACATGCATGCACCACCTACTGGGAATCAAACTCAGGACCTCATGCTTGCCAGACAGTCGCTGTGCCACTGAGCTACGTCCCCAGCCCTGAGTTTTATTTGGACTCTCAGTTTAAAATGTTCCGTCTTAGCCAGGCTTGTGATGCAGTCTTGCTGATGTGTGCACAGGTTTCAAGTTCCTGGGTTCAAGTGAGCCTCGTGCTCAGCTTCTTGAGTATCTGGGGCTACAGTACCTGTGGACCACCAGGCCCTGCTTGTTCCCTATGAGATACCTTAGATGATATGAGAAAGTACAGAGAAAATAACTAACATTGTTCATAATCCCATTTACCATTGTTTTGTTTTGTTTTTGAGACAGGGTCTCGATATGTAGTTTAGGCTGGCCTCGAACTCCCAGCAATCTTCCTGCCTCAGCCTGCCTAACTGCTGGGATTACAGGCATGTGCTACCATGCCCAGCCTAGTTTACCATTGTTAATATAAATGGTACATATTTCCTGCCATAGCTTTTCTATGCCACATCCCCAGGCCTATTTTATTTATTTTTGTGATCCTGGGGATTGAATTTAGGAACTTCACACTGAGGGACATCCCCAGCCCTTTATTTATAGTAGTTCAGAGATTGAACTCAGGGCCTTTGCACTGAGCCACATCCCTAGACTCCATCCTCCCTTTTTTATTTTTGAGGCAAGGTCCTATAAATTGCTAAATTGCCCAGGCTGGGTTTGAACTTGCAGCCCTCCTGCCTCAGTCTCCCAGAGTGCCAGGATTACAGGCATCACTACCACACCTTCTTCCTTTATTTTTTTAATGCTATGGAGAATATTTACAGAAGTTGCTAGACATGGTAGTGCATGCCTGTCAATCAAAAAAGGGCTGGGAATGTAAAAGACCCTGGGTTTACTCCCTGGTACCAAAAAGGAAAAAAAAAAAAAATCTGTGCAATTTATTTTTACGCATTCATTGTTCAGTTTGAGGTTTTTTTTTGTTTTGGGAAGATTTTTTGGTACTGGAAATTGAACTAAGGAATTTACCACTTGCCAGGCAGGCAAGGCGCCACTGAGCTACATCCCCAGCCTCTAGTTTGAGTTTTTTTAAATAAGAATTTCGTATTGGCAGGGGAAAATGTTTGCAATTTCTGACATATAGTATGTGGCTGGGCTTTTCAGGACACAAGGATGCCACCCAAGCGCTTAGCTAAGAGAACATCACCCCCAGAAGATGCTGCCCCCAAAAGCAAGAAAATGAAAGGTAAGTTGGCCTTGGCCTCTTCTTTCTGGCTGTGGGTGGCCTCTTGGAGCCCCAGGGGTCTGGAACTGGGCCCCTCCATCCCTAACACTTGAAGATGAGGGACTTGGATGTCCAGGGACCCCATCTAACTGGAGGGTCTCCTGTAGCTCATTGAATTTCACCCCTCTGGGAATCATAAAAGCCCAGATGCTCCTCTGAGAGGATTTGAGCAGTGCTGGGGAAAAAAACCAAAAAAACCCTATATCCTAAATTGGGCGTGGTGGCACACACCTGTAATCCCAGCACTCAGGAGGATGAAGCAGGAAGATTTCCATTAGTTCAATCCCATCTTGAATTACATAGCGAGACCCTATCTCAAAACAGAGCCAAAAACTAGATCCTAGGATGTCATTCTAGGCAGTAATGTATTGTGGTTAGCACTACTGGTTTCAGAGCTGGGTTCAAGTTTTTGCTCTGCTATGTTCTAGCTGTATAAGCATAGGCAAATCCCTTAACCTAGCTGAGCTTTCATTACTCACTACATAAAATGGAGGTGAAAATAGCACCACCCTCTCTGGGCTGTTGTGAGGATTAAATGAGATAATCTCCAGGCTGCATATGAAGGGGAGTGTCTGGTTTCCTCTCCTGTGACCCCAGAATAGAACAGACATAAGAGAAAGCTACCCTAGACTGGGAGGAGGGAGTGTGGGCCATGCTCAGACAGTGTCTGTCTTTTCCAGACTCTCATAACCAAGCAGTGAAGCCCACTGCCTCCCGCAGTGGTCCCAGCACCCACTCCTGCCAAGGTGTCTGAGGACCAAGCCCTCCTGACCAGAAAACCCCAGCAGATGGCTTCTGCCTGGTGCACACTCTGCACAGCTGCAGTGGCCATGGCCACACCCCCGGAGAAGGCCCTGGATGCTATTGGCTGGCCAGGCCTATGGGCAGCCTCCACTGGCCAGCACAGGGCCTTGTAGCCCACTGGTCGGTGCAAACCTCTCTGAAAATGCTTCTATGAGATCTTACTACTGCCCTCTCCCCTTCAGCTCTCAATGTGCTGCCTGATCAGACAGAAGGGTTCCATTTCTCCTCTGAATATGTCTAGGAATTGAAAATCACATTCCTGGGGATTGAGGAGGTTGAGGTTGAAAGCTGGCGACTGCTCTGATCCATGTAGTCTCCCTTGGCACTCTGCTAATTAGCTTTATGGGTCTGGGAAGGTTATTGAACCTCTCAGAGGCTCCGTTTCCTTTCCTGCAAAACAGGATCCTAAATATGGAAGGAGGCCGGGGATTTAGCTCAGTGGTTTCACTGCCTGCTACACGAGTGCAAGGAC